CCGCTCTCAGCCTCCTCTGCTGAGGCTCAGAAGAGCTCAGCGCAGGGGGTGAGGATGGGGCACTCGTGGGGTTCAACCCCTCCTGGAGATGGGGACCCCGGAGGTTGCTGCTGGGTCTGCGCTTGGCTTCCCCGTAACAGCGCTGAGACCTGCTCACCTCCAGCCCCCTCAAGCTGCCTGAAACCCCCTCCCTCCTGTACCCCCCGAGGTGGCACTGGGGTGGACCGGAGGGTCTCCTCAAGGGCTGGATCCCTATGGGTTACCCAGTCCGGACTGGGTGTTTGAGGAGGACTGACCCTTATCCAGAAGCTGGTTGAAGAGCAGGGTGTTGGAGAAGAAGAAGAGGTAGGCGAACATCTGGGAGGTGATCTCCGGGTGGACTTCGTACTGGCGGAGCAGGTCCAGCACCGCCTGGTAGATGAGCACCACCCTGCGGAGCTCCTCGGGCAGCGGTGGGGACGCCCGCCAGCTCTCCCGGCACTCGTTCTGGAAGGGGTTGCACTCCAGCAGGGCAGGGAGCGACACGTACAGACACTGCAGGGAGAGCGGCAACGTCACGGCAGACTGGTTTTGTTTCTTTTTTCAGTTTTCTGGGTTTTGGGGATTATTTTTTTTTGTTGCATGAGCCAACCCCTTCCGCCCCCCTCCCCTCCGCAAGCCGAGCAAACCCCGCTGGCGCTGCTCCAGCAAGGGGCTGATCCTGTTCACCCCCCCGCCTTCCCCGCGCTCCGGCGTCGCACAAGTGTTTGAAAAAAAAAATAATAAAAAATAAAAATATGAACGTGTCTGCCGCTTTTAGCCGTTGGAGGCGACGGCACGGGACAGCTCAGGGATCTGAAAACTGATCTGACCCAGGGCAGCGGCCGATCAGCGGGGCACGAGGGTGAAAGAAAAACCGGGACCGATGGGGACGACCTTTCCCGATTGCTAAAAGAGGAGAGCAGCACCTTGCACCCACCTCTGCCGAGGGTACGGGGGAGGTGAGGGTGCTGCTCCGGCACGGCGGCGCAGGAGCAACCCCCGCGTCCCCACACCCCGACGCCAGCGGACACAGCCGCCTTTCTCCTGCCTGACACTGCCCGCTCTGTTCCCCGCTCCCGATGCCGCCCGGCTCGCGCGGGCCAACGGCGACGCTCCAGGGGCCCCTTTCCATCGCGCCCTGAATCGCACCATTATGCCGCGCCGGCCGGAGCCAAGCAGCTCTCCCCAAACGCCTCCCCTGAGCCGCTGCACTGCGGGCAGGGAAACACACCGCAGTAATTCAATACTTTTCCTGGGCTGCGACCAAAAATCGGGGCGCTTCAGCCCAAAGGAAAACACCTCGGTGTGATGCAACTGCCAAAAAGTAAAAGCTTAAAAGAAAGAAAAAAAACAAAAAAAACCCTCCTGCAAGGCCCCAGAGCTCTGCTGGGGATGCTCGTGCCGGCCCCGGGGGATGCTGCCACCCTTCCCGGGGAGCGCGTACCTTGGAGATGTAGTAGACACACTGCTGGAAGGTGTACATGATCACCTCCTCCAGCACCGTCATCGCCTCCTCGCTGGCTGTGATGGTGGAGGAGAACAGAGACTCCTTGGAGCCTACGGGGTGGAGAAGAGGATGGGGGGAGAGAACCCGCAGCAGCCAGGCGGGCCGAATTCACCGCTCCCCAGACCCCCGGGCTGGGGGTTATTAGCGCTCCTGGGCTGCCACCACCACCACGGCATCCCCCCACCAGGGCCAAAGAGGGTCCCCTCGTCCCGGAGCGCCCACCCGCCATCTCCCACGGCACACAACGCCGCTGGCAGCACAGCCCAGCGCCGCAGCAGGGTGGCCGCTGGTGGCCCCCAGGGCTGCTCCCCTCCTTCCAGCAGCCCTTCTGGCCTTGCTGAAGATTTCTGAGGCTGATTTAATCCCTTTTTCTTTATTTTTTTTCTCCCCCTTTCTTTTCTTTTTTTTTTTTTTTTTTTTTATTTGCTGTCATGGACACGGCCTCACCAGTGAGCGATTCTGCAGGGCTGCCCGCGCCCCTGGGCGCCCCCGCAGCAGCCGCGGGGCAAGGGGGGCAGAAAGCCACCCCCGAGGCATTAACCAGGAGCTGCGGCGGTGGAAAGGGGAGGCTCAGCTGCCCACGCAAGGCAGCCTGGCCCCGAAGCCCAGCAGCACCACCACAGCACGCTGCGTGGCCGCTCCTCCCGCAGAGATTACCCCCAGCCTGCACCGCAGAGACGTCCCCGCTGATGAGGATTACTGGGTGGGGGGGTTAAAGGAGCATCTCGGGGGCTTGTCACCAGGGATTAGCGGAGCAAAGTCCTTCCAGCCGGAGAAGCAAGCAGGGCGCCGTGTCCAGCCCTACCTCTGACATCCAGCTCCTCCTCCATGCTCTGGATGTAGGTGGGCGATTTCTGCTGGACGAAGTAGAGGACCTCGATGGCGTTGGCCATCCAGAAGAGGATGTGCTGCAGGTCCGGCAGAAGGTCCGTGATGGTGAAGCGGGACAGGGTGGCAGGGTCCTGGCTGGGGAGACACGGCGGGCGTTACGGCTGCTGCTCCTTGGCATCCCCACTCAAGTTTTTGGGGAGAAAACGGCTATCCTGGGGCAACGCCAGGGAGCTTTTGCATCCCTTCACCCCCAAGCCCAGCATGCCTTTAGGAGGACGCTTTATAAGCAAAAATCTGGCAGTTCCTGCTCTGTGAGATGGCGAAGGGGACCCTGTGGGGAGCGGGCTGGCCAAGGGCCACCTGGCCTTTGTGGGATGCCACTTTTTGGGGCGGATTACCCCTAATACAGCTGAACTGCAGTAACGACTCCTGGCTGAAGAGCAGCTCTCCCTGAGAAATATGTGCTGCTCCTGCCAGCTCTGGACGGTTAAATCCAGCCTGCCTGTGCTGGGCTGGTCAAAAATAAAACAAAATAAATAAAAAGCATCTGGGAAGTTTCTCAACTGCTGAACTGCTTTTTCCTGCTATAGGAAAGGCCTGGGAAGCATCCTTGGAGTTTGTCCTAAAGGAAAGCTCACAGCAAGCGCCAACAGCTCCTCCAGATGCTGCTTTGGAGCCTGGATTTTGGAAACGGCCGGGAAGCCAGCCTCGCACCCCGCTGGGACGTGGCCCCCCGCACGGCTGTGACGGCCCCAAAGTGGTGCTCCTCACCCTGGGACACCGCATGCCACCATCCCTGGATGCACACATGCACCCCCAGCCCCGTCCTCGCTCCGCAGGGGGGTCTTCAGCACGAACGGGGTGAGACCCCGCACTGGGGCCATCCCTGCTACATCCCTCCAGGCTGCTGAAGCCACACGTGCACAGCCTTGGCTGGTCTTGGATTGGAGAAGACCCCAGAGATGCTGCAGGTCCTATCCCCCCGCCCCCTGCTTTTCCAGCCCCACGTGTTCCCAAGCAGCAGCCTTGCAGGCACCGTGCTGAAAGGACCAGAGAGCTGAATGCATGGGACTGAGCGGGAAAATTCAGCATGTGTCGGCACCGCCACGCTGGGAGCATGGTTTTAGCCCGCCACGGACTCCCCTCGCTCCCAGAGGAAGAACTGGGTTGAGTTCTCCCTGTTTTGGGGCAAAACAAGGAAGGGCAGCAGGTCGCACTTACTGCTGGGACTGCTTCTCAGCCAGCTCCCGCGTCCGCTCCTGGGCAGGGAGAGAAGGGAAAGCAAAATGAAAACCAGCGGGACGGGGTGGCACGAGCATCACCCCGACCAGCACTCCCTGCCGCCGGGGCCAGGCTGGGAGAAGCCACCCGGGGTGGGGCGTCCAGCAACACTCCCACCCCACCAACACCCCCGTCCCACCGCCGACTGACCCACACTGTCCTCTGGATCATTTTGGCCACTTTGAGCAGCAGCTGCCCGAAGTCGCCCGGCTCGAAGCTGGTGGCCGAGTGCTGGATGCAGAGGCAGAGCAAGAAGGCGGGGGTCAGCTTGTGGTCGTCCCCCCCCGGCTCGATCAGGGTCATGATGCGCCGCAGGAGCACGTCCTCGGCTGCCGGCTCGAACTCCAGCAGCAGTTTTCTGCGGGGTGCCCTGGGGCCGCTGGCGGGCGAGGGACCCTGCTTTTTGGCGGTGGGGTCCCTCTCCTTCAGCAGGCTGCCGCACGCCCCGCAGACGGGGGGACCCTCGGGGACGGCGGGGTGCAGGGCTCGCAGCCTCAGCAGGGTCTGCGCCGGCAGCGGCTGCGCCTTCATGGGGTCCTTGTAAAGGAGCAGGTAGTAGAGACCGAGGGAGAGGAGGTCCCCGTGCCGCAGCACGACTGTCCGGGCCACCTCGGCGAAGTTGACGGAGATGCCAGCACCGGCGATGGGCTCCAGCACCAGCTTCTCCTCCGAGCGATGCCGGGAAGGTCGGAGCTTCCTGATGGTGCAGTGCAGGGGTAAGATGTCGGGGGCCGACAGGCTG